AAGGACACCATCTACAAAGTAGAAGGTAAGCACTAACCAGACAGAACCTGCTGATGCCTTGATCTTGGAATTTCCAGCCTCCAGAACTGTAAGCAGTAAATTTTTGTTGTCTTTGAGTTAGCCAGGCTAAGGGTTCTTTTAATCACAAACTGAATCCACTAAGACAGCAACTTAAAAAATCCACACCTACTCTAACACCCTGACTTCAATATCCTCAATTCCTAGAAGTCATCATCTCCAATTCCCCTCACCAGTAAATCCACAGTTTAGATGACACTTGCATGCAAAGCCATTGCATTCCCAAGGGCTCAAATTCTGAGCTAGCCTTGCCCGTTTCAGCCTTTGCAGTTTTTCCCTCGCCTGTTGCATCCAGCCAGCATCATCACACTGACCCTTCCTACTCGGAGTCCATTAGCCCCTCCTCACTGCACAGGCCTCCCTTCCCAGACCCTGGCTTCCTGCCCTTCTCACAACCAACTTCAGCACTCCCTACCGCAGCAGGGTCTGCTCCGTTCCTTCAGTGTGGTGAGGACTCGCAACCCCCCTTCGTGCTCTCTCCCCGTGACTGTAAATTCCCTACTGCATTCCCCACACAACTGTCACCAACTTTCTCCCACACACCCAAGCCCTGATCAGTCCCTGGCCTCTCCATCTCAGAAATGATCCTTTCTGCTTCCTTATTGACACTATCAAGTACAAACTGCCCCTTGAATTTTTAACATGCTCCAAACTTGGCCAGTGCTTCCCATATCTATTCAGCTGCTTGTGGTTTTTTTTTGGAGGGGGGGGGTGGCATTAATCAGCTTGACTTCTCCCTCCTTCACACACTTCCTACTCGTCTCCAGAGCTCCTTGCCTCTCCAACACTGATCTCAAGCTCATTCTTCGCTTCCCACCTCCATCTCTCACAACTGTTCTGCTTCTGACTACAGTTCTCTCTCACCTGGACCACTGAAAGAGGCTCCTAAAAAATCTATCCTTTTCACTTCTTCCTCTCTTCCCATTTGGACATCCTACCATACCAAGACAAAAATGATGTGTTTTTTTATTTTTAAAAAATCCTACTTGTGCCATTCAGCTGTCTGAAGCCCCTTAATGGCTTCCCAATATTACGAAGAAAGTTTTCAAGATTTTGACATAGCCTAAAAGACAACTGTCAGCTGAGGTAACTGCCTCTCTTTGGGGCCTCTTCTCTGGCCATCTTTTTTTCTATTCTCTGCAATCCAAGCTTTTCTTTCAAATGCCAAACTCTTCAACGACCTCATAGCCTCAAAGCCTCAAACTCCGGTGTCCCTCCACAGTTCCTACAACACACCTCCACGGCGCCTGGAAAGTCCTCTTCTCCTCTCAGTTCTCAGCCTAAAGGCTGCTTCCTCTGGTGCTGCCCCTTCCTTCTAGTGCATAATAGACGCCTTCGACCTGTAGGTACCCTGCAGTTGTCCCCCATACTGTGTGTCACAAGAGCAATGGCACCATTATTTTGTGACTCCCTCCTTCATGAATTCCCACTATTTGATTATCTCAAGAACAGGAGCCAGGACTCGGTTGCTCATTGCTGTGTGCCCAGACCTGGCCCAGACCCAACATATGGGTCGAGCGGGCTCTAACCTCCAGGGAATGAGGCTGTGGTTGGTCCAACAGCAGGGTGGGCAGCAGGAATAAGCCTAGAAATGAGCATCCCTCAGGCCCCATTCTCCCTGAGCCTCTTGGTCTTGCTACCTTGCTGCTTTTTCTACAGTCTTTCACCGCTCCCCAGCATCATCCTATAAACACATCACGTTAAAGTGTTTGAAAACACGCCACTGTAGGAGAAGGTGCTCAGAGGAAGCAACTAGTCTTTCTGCCCAGCTCCCTCCCCCGAGGCCACAGTCAGCTGTTTCTCCATATGTTGCTGAGAATGTATAAGTGAGGCAAGGTCTTCTGTTCTCTACCCTCCTTGTGTCCCTGTGTCCCTGTGCACGCAGGATCGCTTGCTGCCTCCAGTCCCTCTCGCTAGCTCAAGGTTCATCTCGCTTTGAGTCCCTTCTCTCCTTCCCCACCTTTCTAGCACTCTTCCACTTTCTCCGTAGCCTACAAACTCTGAGAGAGTGGTTAGGAGGGCCCTGCCTTGGTACTCCACCACCCTTGATCTCTCCTGATGACTTTTTCTTCTTCCCTGCAATGCCAATGTTCTTGAAACAATTGCTATATTTGCAGCATTCACTTCCTCACCACCCACTCACTGACTTTTATTGTTTCATTTCTTGAATAGTTAATACATGCTCACAATTCAAAATTCAAAACACTCCAGAAAGGTACCCAGTGAAGCATCTTCCTTCCACTTGTTTCTGAGCTTCACATTCTCCTCAGAGGCGACCCCCACTGCCAGGCTCTTGTTTATCTTTCCAGGGAGAATACACATAAATATATTCCTGTTTCACTTTTATACAAATGAAGACATTTATACACATTTTCCATGCTTCTTTTACTTAAAATATCTTAGAGATTGTTCTACATTAGCACATCCAAGCTGCCCCATTCCTTTTAATGGCTGCTTAGATCCCACTGTGAGGCTGTACATAAATCCTCTACCCTGGACATGTAGGATATTTGTATTCCTTTGTCCTAGCAAACGTGCTGCAGCGGGCAACCATATGCATGTAAGATTTCCCACCCCTGTGAGTGCATCCATAGGATAAACCCATGGAGATGAAACTGCACTTTGCATTTTGAGATTAAATTGCTCTCCACAGAACTGCACCAATTCATCTGCCCACAGCACGATACGGAAAGGCTTTGTTTCCCCTCCTACTCCAGCAGATTTCCGAAGCGTCTTTAGTTTTGCCAGTCGAACAGGTGAAAAGGTTGAGCACATCAAGGATTCTTCTTATGTTGAAGAGTCATTTGTTTTTCTTCTGTGAATCTTCTACATCTGTCCTTTACCCATAACTTTCGGTCTTTCAGTGATTCCTAGGAACATCCTAAATTAGAAAATTACTTCCTTAGTTTGGGGGTGTAGCTCAGCGGTAGTGTACTTGCCCAGCATATGCGAGGCCCTAGGTCTGATACACAGCATCACAGAAAATAAATAAAAGAGAAAGAACATTAGCTCCTTTCTGTGGGTTGTGTCACAAATATTTTCAGTCGCTCTGTGACCCTTTGCAGTGTGTCTTCTGTGCTCCTTAAGGCAAATGCAACTACTGTCCTATGAGCTGCTCTCCTACGGGTAAAACCAAAAGGCCATTCCCTGTGCTTGTCTATTCCAGCATTTGACACCCTGGCCAACCCCTCTTGAGAACTCCCATTTTCATTTTCTGCACCTCCTTAGCAGGGATCATCTCCCACTTCTCTGACTGTCATTTCCCCTACTCTTTCACTGACACTCCTATGACAAGCGCCCTTGGAAATGGAGCCCCTGAACTCCACATCAACAGTGCCCAGGGACTAGCCCTGGCAGGAGGTCTCACTAGAGGCTTCCCCAGCACCCTAACCCAAGCGGCGGTGCAGACAAGTACTGCAAGCCCATCCACTACAAAGTCCAAATGAGGGGCTGGGGATTTAGCTCAGTGGCACAGCGTTTGCCTGGCAAGCGCAAGGTCGTGAGTTCGATTCCTGGTACCGGAAGAAAAACAAAAAAAAACACAAAACAAAGTCCAAATGAGGCAGGCTCAGCACACTCCCTGGACTCTTGGTTTTCCATTGTCTATACCAAGCCAAACATGTCTAAGAACTGTTCCTAACCTCAGCTGGGCTCCTACTACTCTCCTAATCCTCTCAGGTCTGAAGCCTTGGTCTCCCCAAGCTCAGGAGTTGGTGGTCCTTCCGATTCTGTGCAGGTCTTTCCTCCTCCTGGCTTCCACCCCAGTTCCACGTCATCGTGCATGTCACCAAGTCCTTGCTCCATCAGCACCCCCTCAGATCCATGTCCCCTGCTGCTGCAGTCCCATAGGAGCAGCCTCCTTCTGCTCCTCCCAAGCACGCGCCCCGCCTCACTGTATCCTCAGTAAAGGGCTTTGCAGAAACTAGAACTGAACGGGAAGTTAAGAAAGCCTGGATGCAAAGGAAGTACCGTGCTATCCTAGGACTGGCAGATTGCATTTCCAAAAGTGAAAAGCCCCTCCTTTGTTCCAGGTAAGAAAGCTAGTTCTTTAAATATACGCATACATGTATACCTACACACACACACACACACGTTTTAGTTACTCTTTTGCACATGACAGTGTATGGAATGGTGCTTGCCATCATTTCTTTTTTTTTTTTTTTTTTTTTTTTTTTTTTTTT